TGTTTCCAGATTTGAGAATTTATAAATTCCCAGGATGGAAAGTTCTGGAATAACCAAGTCCTTTTCTTTCCTTGTTTCATCTTTGATTCCTGACTCTTGTATGATCAGAGAATGCTTTTTTTTCTTTCCTTTTTTTTTTTTTTTTTGTATTTTAGGGAAGGGTCTACAGAATGTTCAGAGTCTCACTACTAGGTTGGACTTATAGTGATCCGCCTGTTTATAACCTCCCAAGAGCTGGAATTACTGGCACGCGTCATCACGCCCAGTCTCAATTGCTGTCTCAGTATGCCCCAGGGAAGGGGCCAACACGGCAGGCCCGGGGATTGAACCCCTGGACCCTGAGCCTGCTTGCAGGTGCTTTAATCTGCTGAACTATTTGGCTGGCCCAAGAGAAAAACTTTGCTCAGGGTAACAACTCCAGACACCAAAAATGCTCCTGGTCCTCTGGGTACAGCAGGTTGGATTAAGACTTCAACTCCTAATAATCACAAAAATGTGATTATTAGGAGTTGAAGTCTTAATCCAACCTGCTGTACCCAGAGGACCAGGCCACCTATATCCCAGCCTGCTCCTGAGGGCTTCCTGCCTCAGCACTGGGTGCTCCTCATTACAGCTATTAGGTCCCATATCCTGACTTCTTTCCTGGCTGGTCCTAGATGGCTGTCACTCCACTACTTGGAACAGTGCTTCCCTGCACACCCCAGCCAAAGTCCAGGAAAACCCCAAGTGCCCGTGGGTACTGCACAGAGGAGCTGTGGGCTCACAGGCTGTCTCTGGAAGCACATGACCTCTGGTGGCTGCGGCAAGTCAGACGGCGGGGGTGGGGGGGATGGTCACTGTCCCCTGCCTACCTGCTTCAGCATCCCTGGCATACATAGGTCCCACAGTCCTCAACATGAGCCCCTTATCACCAGGAACAGTGCTCAAGGTGGGCATATAGACGAGGTTTGTCTCTGGCCTGGAGACATTGCTTACCTGGTCCAGAACCTTTGTTTCCATGGGAAGTCCAGCCCCTCTAGAATGAGACACTGCAAGTGCTGGTCACATCATGAGGCTGGGCCTGCCCAAGGCACCCATGTCAGGGCTAGGGTCCTCCAGAGACAGGTTTCTTTCTCTTTTTTCTGTCCTTTCCTTTCTTTCTTCTTCTTCTTTTTCTTTTTCTTTTTTTTTTTTTTTTAAAGTCAGGGTCTCACTATGTAGTCCAGGCTAGCCTTAAAGACATTATGTAGCCCAGGTAGGCCTCAAACTCATGGTGATTCGCCTGCCTTAGCCTCCTGAGTGCTTGGATTACAGGACTGTGACATCATGTCTCAAAAGAAACAGGTTTCTAAAGTTGTGGCTGGTGACACTCCATTCCTGAGTCCTCACAAGATAGACCCCTCAGGGCCTGCTGTGCCTTCATTGCTGTTTCTGTGTCCAGCATGCAAGTCATTAGGAGCAGTAGGTGCTCGAGGAGGATCAAAAAGGGGCTGTGGGAGGGGCTGAGGGTTCCAGGGAGGTGACTGGCTCTGAGGAAGGAGTCTAAGACCCTAGATGAGGGTCTCTTTTTTTCCAGAGCCTTGACACATAAGAATAAGTTTGAAAATTCCTTCCCACTGGAAAGGGTGGCAGTGTGTTTTTGTCTTAGTCCCTTTCCTCAGTAGTGGGACAAAATACCTAATATCTTCCATTTATTTACTTATTTTATTATTATTATTATTAACTTATTTTTTTGTGGAACTGGGGATTGAACTCAGGCCCTTGCGCTTGCCAGGCAAGCACTTATTCTACTGAGCTATCTCCCCGGCCCAGATACCTTCAATTTAAAGAAGTTGATTTTGGTTCACAGTTTTTAGTTCAAAGTTGACTGGCTCCAAGGTAGGATGCACAGTGGAAGGGCCTGGGCAGAGGGCAGCTGCTTATGTCATGGGGTCAGGCAGCAGAGAGAGGGGAGGGCCGGGAAAAGAAGTGCATCCTTCTGGGATGTATCACCCCGTGATGCTGTGCACCCCTGCTGAATAGCAAGTCAGCTAAGGCACTGTGTAATTCAATAGTTATCCAAAAGCCCTGCCTCTGAGCCAGGGAGGCTCTTGGGAGACATTCTTTTTTTTTGTGGAACCAGGGATTGAACTCAGGCCCTTGTGCTTGCCAGGCAAGCGCTAATTCTACTGAGCCATCTCCCCGGCCCCATTGGGAGACATTCTTGATCTAAAGCATAATAGTTCAGAAGTAGGTTTAGACTGCTTGGTGGAGGCCAGGTCAGGGGAATCCACGGCTACCCCAGACGCATCTTCATCTTGAAGTGTTAATCTTAAACCTTTAGCAAAGCAGCAGACCTGCCACCTGTGGACCTGGTGGCAGGTATGGGACAGGGAGAGCTGCAAATCTGGGTGGTGGGGTGGTGGCTCTTGTTGGGAGGGCAGGAATCTGCTCTTCAGGAGAACCCACTTCAGAAATGCTCTGCATCCAAAAGAGGAGGCTTTTTTTTTTTTTTTTTTCTGGTATTGAGACTTGAACCCAGGTCCATTGTGCAAAACTACATTCCCCAGCTCTTTTTTAATTCTTTATTTTGAGACAGAGCCTTACTGGGTTTCCCAGGCCACTTGCAGTTCTCCAGCCTTAGCTTCCTAGAGTGCTGGCATTACAGGGGCACACCAGCATAATGGGCTTTTACTTTGCTTTTTGTTGTTTTTATGAGACAGTGCCTTGAACTCACTGTGTAGTCCAGGCTGGCCTCAAACTCAAGATGATCTTTTTGCCTCAGCCTCCCGAGTACTGGGACTACTGGAGTGTGCCACCATGTTTGGCTTTTGCTTTAGGTCGTTTTGGTGCCAGAAATTGAACTCAGGACCTTGTGCTTGCCAGGCAGGTGTTTGTGTGCTGAACTATATCCCCAGGCTTGTTTTTAGCTATTAAGTCTCTGACCTGAAGGTTGGCTCTTACTTACCCCTCATATGAACAAAATGGGACTCAGCCTATGGCTTAGGAGGCCAAGGGCCATTTCCCTTAAGTGGCCATGTGGTACCCCCACCTGTGCTGGCCCTGTCCCCAGGTGCCTGGCTTTTAGCCTTACAAATCACCTGACTGGGACAGTTTCTAATCTGGTGGGTGCCTTCCTGGTTAGGTACCAGGGCTGGACCCTTCCATGTCCCAGCTGACCAAATGGGCCCAGGACAGGAGGGGCACCAGCTACACCCCCAACAGGCACAGAAGCTGAGCTCTGAGCTCAGAGAAGAGGGTGCCACAGTGCAGCACTTCCCAGCTGGCTGGCCAGCTGGGAAGGCTGTGCAAGGTAGCACTGTGGAAGGTAGGCACAGGGAGGGAATGAGAGTTGGCTTGGGGCCCAGGGTCAGCCCAAAGAGCATCACGCAGTGTGAACCTAGACTTGGATAAGATCTGGGACAATATTAATATCGTAATTGGAATAATGACTGCTATTGTTATGGGAGAGTCATCAATGGGGGGCATGTTAGAGCAAGTGTGAGCTCAGATGTGGCCCCAATCCCAGCCTTCCTTGCTTGGTAGCTCTGGGCAGGTTGTGGATGCACTGAAGCCTCAGTTTCCCTACCACACAGGCCCCAATCTGCTCTTCCCAACCTTAGGGCAGGCCCAGCCATGCCTATAGCAGGGAAGGGAGTCACAGCAGTTGCTCCTGTCCACTGTCCTGACCTATGCCAGTGTCACTTCAGTTCCAACCCTGGGTGGGCTGTCTGGCGTAGGCGTGGGAGGCTTAGGGCAGGTCCCTCTGCTAGGAGAGGCTCTGCCTAGCTGGCCAGTTTGGGAGAACAGGCAGTCTCCTCAGCTGGGCTGGGAGGGACTAGGGACCATTTGGTGGGAGGCTGGAAGTGCCGGGCAACGAGAAGGAGCAGGGCCCATGAGTGTCCATGAGGCAGGACACATAATCAGAGCCAGATCTTGAGTCTGGACACTAAAATTTTACCCTGAGAAAATTTAGTATTAAAGACTTAAAATGTGAAGAACACATTTGTTTGGAACTATCCATACTTCTTGAGACTCTTAACTACTGGAAATCCTTAAGCAATCAGTAGTTTTTTCCTTTTTATTTTCACAGTGATTTTGATAAGACATTCTTTGGTGGGGTTTTTGGGCAGGGAGGTGTTGGTAATCACATTACATCTAAATGTAGCTTTTTTGATCTTTAAATTTTTAATCTAAAGATAGAATCCCATTTTTAAAGAATAACAAAATCATTTTTTCCTATTCCTTTAGAGAATAGCTATTGCCAAAGTACAGAGGTAGAGACTTCATTTTGTTCCGTAATGGGTTGTGATTTGCAGATAAACTGCCTCCTTTACGAAATTTGAGCTTCAGGGCTGTCAGTGTTCATCCGTGCTGTTCGTTCCAAGATGGCTCTGTGCCATTTTAGGAATTTGAAATGTGTGTAATTTGAAATCATTAAATAAAATTTGAATTTAATTTTATAAAAAAATAAAATAAAATAAAATTTTACCCTGAGAGCAGCAGGCAACCATGTGAGGTTCTTGAGGGAAAAAGAAAGGGCATGGGGCATCAGATCCTGCTCTCACACCGGCAGGCCTTGGTGTGTGTCACGATTATTTTAGGACTCATTCCTCAAGGAATTGGGCAGGGGGAGAGGAAGGAGGAGAGTGTTCAAGTCGAGAGCTTGTTGAAGAGGCATGAAGGAGACTCACTTAGAGGAAGCAGTTTAGTTTTGCCCATAAGGTAAAGTCAGCATTTTCTGCTCACTTAACCACAAAAATGTGTCACCATTATGAGGAAACTGAGGTCTGGAGAAGATAAGTTACTCACCTAAGGTCACATAGCAAGACAGTCGCCTGGTCCAGAGCACGCTGCCACAGGACTCGTCAGAGCCAGGGAGGGGGCTCCTCAGGTCTTATGTGCAGGGCGGGAGGGAGATCCTCCCATTGGCACCTCAGCTCTAACTCTAGGTCTCACTACAAGAGAGGCTTAGATCCGGGTGGTAGTGTGGGGCACTGGGCAGGGGTACTGGGCTGAGGTTGCCATGGGTCCTTTTCCAGCTATGGGGACCAGGTGCAGCATTTCAAGGTGCTGCGTGAGGCCTCAGGAAAATACTTCCTGTGGGATGAGAAGTTCAACTCTCTCAATGAACTGGTCGACTTCTACCGCACCACCACCATCGCCAAGAGGAGGCAGGTCTTCCTGCGTGACGAGGAGCCTCTGCTACAGGTAGGTATGGGGGGGGGCGCGCAACCCTGTGCCACCTCTGTGTCTGTGTGCCCTACAGTTACTGCTGCCAAAGGCAGGCCAAGCCCAGGCCCCAAGACCATATCCCAGTAGGGGTGCAGTGGGACAAGAGGGATGGGCCAGGGTCTGGAGAATGGGGATGGTAGCCATCTCGCTGGGTGAACCATTCTGGCTTATTTTTAGCTTCTAGAATAGTGTGGCACACAGCAGGCACTCAATAAATGGATAGACATGTGCTGTACCCACTGAGCACCACACCCCAGTCTGGTGTTTGTGCTCTGGGAGCCTCAGCAGTCCCATTATACAGATGAGGAACTGAGGCTCCATGAGAGATATGGTTTACTCAAGGCCTTAGGCCTACAATGCTCTGTCTTGGTTTCTGCTCCCCAGCAAGGAGCTGGCTTGACCCGTGTGTAGGGAAATATGCATACTTGTGGGTGAGGTCCTAGTTTTGTGGGGGTCCATCTGCCCCTTGTCCTCACAATAACAGCAATTTGCTAGCATCCAGCCCTTTCATTAAGGGACCCCAAGGACCAGCTCTCACTCTCATTAAGATGATGACACTGGCCAATGGGGTTATTAGCCCCCATGTGTTTTTCCTAGAAAAGGGGGTGTGGCCCATGCCTGGGGCCATAAGAAGTTGGGCTGTGCAGGGAGGATGGGAGGCAAGGCCCGAGTTGAGGCCTAAAGAGGGACAGTCATGTCCCCGGTCCCCTCAAACATCTTGTATGACCTGTAGGCTAGCTCAGCCTTTAGTTGGGCCTCAGTTTCCCCTATGTCTAATAGGATGAGACTAGGGGTGTGATACACCAAGAAGATTAAACAAGGCCTCAGCAGGCCCCACTGGTGGACTCTGCTCTGCAGGGCATTTGCCTCTCCACCCTCCATCCCCTCCCACTGCATGGGCCAGCTCTGCCCCTGGATAGTGTGAAGGAGCCAGAATGGAGGGCAGGGCCAACCTAGCCTGCCCTGCACCCACTTCCTTGGGCTGGCCTGAGCCCAAGGTCATCCATTCAGGGGGGTGACGGCAGAGCTGGCTCAGTCTCCTGAGACTCGTGACGCCTCCTCCTTCCGGGGCAGAGAACCGCTAATTACAGTGTCTCTTCTGATTCTATCACCATCTCGGATGGGACTGTGCAGGCTCAGAGCTGGGATCCCGGTGGAGCAAGTAGGGCCAGAGCGCTAGGTGCCATCATCCTGGCGCCAAGCAGACATGCTACAGAGAACTCCGGTTCAGCTGCTGTGCATGGGTGAGGACCAAGTCCCACACAGGGCAGGGTGCTCTGAGGTCCTACTTAGACAGGACTGGAACCCAAGCCTGACTGTTGGGGGCAGCTCCAAGTGTCCATCATGTCCCTGGCCACAGACAACAGCTGGAAACGCAGCTCTTGGCTGCAGAACACTGCATAGTGGATACAGCCCTCTCCTGTGGTCCATACCTGAGCCAGTTATCCTGGCTGCTGTACAGCTGGAGAAACGAGACCAGGAAAGAGCCAGGGACCAAGCAGAGTCCCACCTAAGGACCAGGATTTAGGTCCTCCCCAGCCCTTCTGTCCCTGCGAGGCTGCTAGCAATCATGTTGCTCTATGAAGATGCAATAATGTAGGCCCTGGGCAGCACAAAGTCGCCAGGGATGGGGTGGTCACCCATCTGGGATAGGTCAAGCCCAATGCTTCCCCAAGACTCTTCTCCCCGCTGAGTCGACCTCCTAGGGTCCTCCAGGTCTGGGGCTTCTAAAGCCACCCTATTAAAATGCTTTCTCTTCTTGCAGTCGCCCCGCGCCTGCTTTGCTCAGGCCCAGTTTGACTTCTCGGCTCAGGACCCTTCACAGCTCAGCTTCCGCCGAGGGGACATCATCGAGGTCCTGGAGCGCCCAGACCCCCACTGGTGGCGAGGCAGGTCCTGCGGGCGCGTGGGCTTCTTCCCGCGGAGCTACGTGCAGCCGGTGCACCTGTGAGCTCGGCTGAACCCGCCCGGGGGCGTGTGCAGGAACGCAGGTCCCGTACAAGACGGACACCTCCTGCCTGGGTTACAAACAGCTCAGCAGAAAACGATTGAACTTTGGGTCCGCGCTGCCTAGGGCACCTTCCCATAAACTGGAACAGACCCCAACCACCCCTAAGCTGCCGCTGTATTTAGTGTGCGCGGCAAGGTAGTTCCAGGATTCTTGCCTGGCCTCTTTCCATTGGCCACTACTGATGTGACGTCACTGGTCGTACTCTTTCGAAGCCCCTCCTCTGCTGTCAGAGGTCAAATCCTGTGGAGCAGCTGAGGACTCGGCTCAACTCAGAGTATCTTGGGCTGAGTGGGTGGGTGGGCGCAAGTGCAAAGGTGATGGATCCCTTACTGTTGACTGCTTGCACGGACAGCTCTGAGGGGTAGACCCGGGCCCTGGAACGTGGGAAATCCGGGCTGCTGTGGCTCTCATTTGTCCTGGCTCTGCACACACCAGGGTCTGGGTACTTGTGGGGAGACGGGACAATCCACAGGCCAGGGGGATGTTGTGGCTGGAGCTGGATTTTGGTCGGCAGGCAGCCTAGGTAGAGGCACAGCTTGAGTGGGACATCCAGTTGGAAAAAAAATGGACACCTTCGGGAGCAGGAAGTGGAACTTGGGAACTGGGGCTTGGGAAGAGTTGGAATGCCAGGCAGTTGGGGAGGGGCCTTGAACAGAGTGCAAGGAAGATCCCGCATCCTCCAGGAGAAGGCAGGGCAGAAGAGACACCCATGAGGCTCCTGCAGCCTCTTCAGGAGGACCTGTGTTGTAGGCATGTGGGGCTTCCCCTCTGTCCAGGGCTGGCCTGAGACCCTATGAGTACTGAGCCCAGCAAATTCCACTGCTACTAACATGGGCCTGTGTATTCAAAATAAAAATTGTGGAACTAAGACAACAATGTCCATCAGAAATCTCATTTTCTTCTGAATTATGGTTTTGATGCTAATTTTTTTTTTTTTTTTTGGAACCAGGGATTGAACTCAGGCCCTTGCGCTTGCCAGGCAAGCACTTGTTCTACTGAGCCATCTCCCCGGCCCCTTGATGCTAATTTTGAAATAGTATGTTGTTGTTGTTTTCTATTTCCCTCCTAAGTTTTCAAGGTCTTTTCTTTGCTGGCTCAGCCAGGTGATGCACACCAATCAGTCTGTAGCTGTGTGGGGAGTCAGGCCTTCTCTGCGTCCCATTGTCCACTCTAGGCAAAGAGGGACTCTGGGCTCCTTCCTTCCTGCCCAAAGTGGTGGCATCAGGCAAAGTAGGCATAGAAGAAGATGTTGACACACATGAGCAGGACGGCATTGAAGCCACACACACGAGCCCAGAAAAGGCGTTTCTGAGGTGTCTGGCTGTCACCTGGAGGAGGGTGGGAAGAGACAGATGAAGGGTGCAAGGCCACCCCCCTGAATCCATGCTTCCAGCCCCGCCTTGGGGGGGGGTGCTGAGGGCCACACCAGTACCTGCTTTGACTCCCAGGGACCGGTCCCGAACCAGTGTCCACCAGGTAAGGTTCTCAATCTGCAAGGCATGTGAGGGAGGGAGTGTGGTGGGACAGGGCTGGGTCCAGAGGGGACCAGGGTCATGATGGAAAGAGGAAGCTGAGTTTGAAAGGGAACAGAAGTTAGAGCCAGGCAGTGTTAGGAGTTAAAGGCCAGAAAATTCTGAAGTTGGAGAGGGTCAGGGATCAGAATAAGATCAGAGGTCCGAGAAGATGGCCCAGTAGAATAAGTGATTGCCTGGCAAGCGCAAGGGCCTGAGTTCAATCCCTGGTTCCGCAAAAAAAAAAAAAAAAAAAAAAAAAAAAAAAAAAATGTTGAGGTTCAGGTCAAGAAGCCTACAGGGTCAAAGGTCAGGGAAAACTCACCTGAACTTGCTGGGGAGGTGAAGTTAGTAGGCTTCCAGCTGCCACAATAGCCCCCGTGAGCAGAAAGAGGACAATAGCAAAGTGCAGGTAGTGGATGCTGCGGAGGATGGCTGGCCGGGTGTCTGGATCACCGCAGGGTGGAGCTGGGTGCAGGAATTCTAGGACCAACCTTGTGGCACCCACCACCAGCCCTGCCATCAGGCCCCAGAAGGCCCCCTGGGGAGGAAGAAGGCTAGCTGTGGGCCACGGGAAAAATACAAGTCACCCCTCAAGGCACCGAGGGAAGGTCTGAATGGATCGAAGCATGTCTGCAGGAGAGGCAGAGAGCTCCTGGCTGCCCACCTGTTCATTGGCACGCCGCCAGAAGATGCCCAGAATGAAGACTGCGGTTACTGGGGGGGCCAGGGAGCTGGTCACAGACTGCATGTAGATGAAAAGTTGTCCACCGTTGGAACCCTGCAGGATGGGGATCCAGGCTACGCTCACACCAATGAGTACCACAATGACCAGCCTGTAGGTGACAGTGAGGGGTGGGTGTCCATAGATACTTCCTCAGTGCTGCACCTGCCTCGGTCACTAAGATAATGCTCTCTCACCTCTCTGCCCCCTGAAGCCCAGCTGCAGTCTCCTTTAACCTTTGGTTTACTCCACAAGTAAGTGCCCTTGCAAAACTCCCTGCTGCTAGTAGATTCAGCCTCCAGCCCCCAGGACTGCCTGCTCCTTATCTTCCCTGGAATCTGCTGAGTTAGTCCTTAAAGGACCCCTTGGGTGTTACTGCCCTCCAAAGTCCCTGAGCCAGCTCCATGTGCACATTTGCTTGGGTGTCTTTTTCTTATCTTTTCTTTTTTCTTTCTTATTTTTTATTTATTTTACGGAACCAGGGATTGAACTCAGGCCCTTGCGTTTGCCAGGCAGGTGCTTATTCTACTGAGTTATCTCCCCGGCCCCACTGGGTGTCTTCTTGTCTCCTTCCTGTCTCTCTCCAGACTGGACACTCCAGGAGGGTAGGTTTCTCCCCTTTAGTTTGAGGCACAGAGGGCACAGACTATATTTTTGGGGGCTGCAAATGACTCTGGGCCACACTGAGCTCTTAGTGGTTCTCTTAACATACCATGCTCTAGGGAGCTGTTGGGATCTGAAGGGACCCTCACTGGAGCACATTTCCCAACCCTATCCACCCCCATCCACCTTAAGGTGATCTCTGTCTTAGGAGGACAAGGTTTGGAGCCAGGCAGCTTGGGCTCCGAAGTGAGCCTGAGCCCTTCTGGCTCCCCTGTCCTACCTCTCTAAGTGGCTGAGGGCCCCTCTGCAGCAGGTGCTTCATTCCTGCTTTGGCACATCCTGGTAAGAGCTCCTCTGGGTGCAGGGCCCTGTGTGAACAGGCTCCAGTGCCTATCCAGCCCTGTGTCCAGCAAAGAAAGCAGACCAGCCTGGCAGGGCTGTACTTCAGGAGTCGCAGAGGAAGCATCAATCTGGGGCACTTCCAGGAGGAGGGTCCTGGGGTTTTGAGTCTATGAGCTCAGGAGAGAAAGCTGAGGCAGGCACTTCATCTGTTCCTACCTGGCTGGCACCCTTCACCTTGTCCAGGCCAGTTGGGCTTCTTGTTCCCAAGGAGAAGGTGGGGGCAGCTACTGGAGCCCAGGCTACTGGGGATGATGGAGGCTGTGTGCTGCAGGGCGTATCCCTTCCCCTGGCTGGCTGGCTGCCTGCCTCCCTTTCCTCCCTTCCAGGCCTGAGGGAGAGGGTGGAGGAAGGAGGTGCCACACTGATTAAGGCTAATTAACCCTTAGCCTGGCAGGCGGCGGGTACTGCCTCTTCAAAGGCCCAGGCAGCTGCCATTACCCGCCCACCCCACCCTTTGAGACCAGACTCAGCATCTCTGCGCGTGGGGCTGTGGCCTCTGCAGCCAGCCTGGCCTGGGCCCTGGCCTTCTTACTGCCACCCAGCCTGTGCCTTCTGATTTAGCTACCAGGTTGTTGAGGTGCCGCCCAACCCAGAGACTGCCTTTTGCTGGAATGCCCTTCTCCCCAGCAACCCTTTTCAGCTTCAAGGAGCCCCAGGAAAGCTAGAAGAGCTGTCCCCTCCCAGCCTGTCCATCACAGCCCTGGGCTGCTGCCCTGGTCATGGGGAGCCCGTAGTGGAGTGGGCTCCAAATTATTTCGTGTCTTCCATTTTGCCCATTGGTCACAGCATCCCAGGGAGGAGGGGGAGCAGGCAGCAGGGGAGGAACAAGAGGAACAGAAGTTCTGAGATGTGGGATCTAGGGCTACAAAGATATAGGTCATCCTCCCTCCCCTGAGGGATAGCTCTCCTGGCTTCTTCATGAGACAGCCAGGATCACTGGCAAGCCCCTACCCTTGCCTTTCACTCCAGGATCCTGAGCCCAACAGCAGGCTGGCAGTGCCTGGGGGGCAGGTGGGAAGCAGTGGGAAGAGAGGCCAAAAGTGTAGGTGGGGTTGATGAGTTGACAGGAGGAGTAGCTGGATCAGGACTTGGGTCTCAGATGGAAGCAGGGCAGAAGCTGCTTCTGGGGAGACCAGGGGCATAGGTGGGCATAGGGCCAGGCACTAGGGTACCTGAGTCCCAGGCCAGGATGCTGGAGCATGGAGGGGATTAGCTAGGGGCGACACCATGGCTGGCGAGGGGCAGGACCCCTGGCACAACAGCAGAGCACAGGGAGAGAGCTGGGATCCCTAGCAGTCAGGGGCATATGCCCAGAATGCAGTGGCAAGAGAATCGTTGCTTGCAATGAGCTCACACTTCCTGTGGATTGGCGTGTCCCAACAGTGCCATTCCAGCAGGAGTCTGGCTGTTTGCATCACCAGGACAACTGCTTGGAGCTCTTAGGAGCCCCCACCCCAAAGCCAGAGGCTGCACGATTGCATTGGCTAAGCCAGCACCAGAAGGATGTGCCGTACACTAGCAGAGTAGGGCCTGAGTGGCCCGGCGGAGGGGTAGGGGGTGGGCAGAACCTGGAGAGGACCCAAGTGGACATGTGTAGACACTCTGGGACATGACCTCCACTGTTCATGGCCAAGTTTACCTCTACAGGATCCTGGGTACCCAGCCAGGTTTGGGGACAGAGAATGGGCCAAATATAGCCCCTGTCCTTGGGGACTCCCCAGCCCCATATGGAGGAGTTTCTAGGTGACTTGGGCTTATAATGACCACATGTGCTATGAGAGGTGGTTAGTCTGTGGGCATTAGTCTGTGGGCACAGAGAGAAAAAGGCTCATATCTTGGTTAGACAGATCAGGGAGGGCTACACAGAAGAGGGACCACTTGGGCTGAGTCACTGAGTTGAGTAACAAGGGGATAAGTAGGGACAGGAGAAAATTGGCAGGAGCTCAATGCGGTCCAGGTGTGGAGGCCAGAGAGCCCTGTGGCCTGTGTGTGGCCAGTCCAGGGGCCTCAGTGTGGCAGCAGGTTGAGATTTTAGGGAGGCAGATTTCTGATGTTGCTAGGAGAGGGAAAGCTGACCCTGGCTGAGGAAACACAGCTCAGGGTGAGGGCGGCAGCCCAGACAGGGCTGTGACCATGAAGGGCTGGACAGGAGAGCAATTCAGGTGGGGGATAAACAGGATGCTCTGGCTTCTTCTTTGCCTTCATTTCTGTTGCAAATTCTTGTGCACCCCTCAAAGCCCACTCCCGGCTGGTGGGGCCTCACCGGGCTGCAGAAGCCCATTACTCAGCCACTGCCCGGTTTCCAGGCGTCCACCAACCATACCTTCCCACCAGCAGCAGCTCCTGCTCGCCTGCATGGGACCGTAGCTGTCTCCAGATGTCCATGGTGAAGAGCGTGCTGCTGCTGTTGAAGATGGAGGTGAGCGAGGACATGAGGGCGGCCATCATCACTGCGATCATCAGCCCCCGAAGACCTGGGGTGAGGACGGGGCCTGCTGAGACCCTGCCTGGCCCTTGTTTGGCCTCCTGAGCCCCTGCTGCCTGTGCTCAACCATCCGAGACCCCATTGCTGTCACCCCAGGAGTTTACAGCAGTGTACAAAGCCCTGCCGGCAGAGGCTGGAGAGG